ATGTTGAGCAAACAATAATCATGACATTTGTATATTGAAAATGCATTCTTTGGAACGATGAAAAATAAAATGTTGTATGCACCTCAGGCATTACTCAATATTTAACCCTCGGGCGACTTACAATCCCTCTTCTTCTTAATTTATAACCCATGGTTCCATTGTGTTTCTTTAATTACAGATTTTGAAAATGATAGTATTATTTTTATAACGCCCTGTATACAGTATAGGTGTATGGAATGCACGTAAGTGTGCATGTAAGCTTATAATTTATTATTTATTATTCCTCTCTTGTTCTGGGCCTTCAACAGGCTTGCGCCCAATTACAGGACTGACCCGCATTTGAGAGGTGCCTCTGCAGAAGGTCTTAAGTTGTTCTATACTACTTCGGTATTTACCTTACGAATTAGGAAAACTGCAAGAAAACCTACATCGGAGTAACCGGTAGAATGCTCGGAACTGGTCTAAGGTAATTTCCATCTCTGCCACAGATAAAAAATTCACCTCAACCCAGGTTCGAACACCGGACCTCCGGATTTATAGCCCAACGCTCTACCACTGAACCATAAAGCCGGTTTGGTAATGTTGTAGTATGCGAAATATATACCAGTCATGTAGATTGTATATCATCATGCTCCGATTTGAGCTTTCTGAATTTTTTAAAAAAATTAGGATTGGTTTTTTTAATCATAACTTTTTTATTTTTTATAATAGAAAGATCAGTAAAAAACCATTTTGTAGGTTTTTACAAGAGCTAGAAGGCTATTTACTTTAATTTCTTTTAAAACTCTTAGTTTTAAAAGAGGGTGACCATAGACGGCCCAAACAAGGTAGTGCCCGCATACACGCTTTAAAACGTCACTTAATTTTTGTTGTATAGAAAATTCCCGTTGAGAAAAATGTTTCTAATTCAAAAAGCTAAAATTTTATGCTGTAGCATTGTTCACGTATCTCTAGTTGTTTTTGAGTTATTTTGAAGAGACGGGCGTTTTTCTCAAAATTGCAGAAATTCGCTGTTTACTTTTAGCTTCAATTATTTCAAAATTAAGTATTCTAAACTTAGAGAAAACTTAAAAACCGGAAGGACTAATTTTAATTAGGGTGGTCATTAGGGGGTGGCTTTCTTTGATTTTTTGTTGAAAAAAGTAGAGATCTACCTTATTTCATCATAACTCGGTTAATTTTTATGCTAAAGTGTTGCCTTAAAAAAAGGAAGAAAGTTCTTTTTAAATACTTTGAAACAGATTTTACAAATTTGTCTGGAAAAATGCATGATTGTGCCGTTACTTAATCTTGAGCTCTCTAATTTAGCTTTTGAGCCAACAATTAACAAGCTATAACTCGGTTCGTATCGATGATGCAGCAATCATTAAAAAATCATTTTCTTTATTTTTTCAAAAGTTTGTTCTCCACAGTTCTTTTTTAATGAAATGCGTACTTTCCCAGTTTTTTGCGAATAACATTGATCTTTTCTATATAAAGCTCATACTTTCGGTCGCGAATCACGCGAAAAACTAACTTTACAAAAAAATTCATAGAACACGTTTTGCTTAGAATTAGTCTTTCTATCTACTTCTTTGATCAAATTATAATAAAAAAATTTCCACCCCCCGAGATGGGGTGGCAATCACCCCCGGGGTGAGAGCGCCCTTTGGTATGATATAGATTTTCATCCTTAGGATATTCCCAACTTACTGTCAAAATTTCGAGATAATTCATTCATTTTGAAAAAATTGCCAAGTCAAAACCTTCATTGCCTGGACTAACAGTCTATACCTAGGTCTATACAGTTAGTGGCAACGGAAAAATGTCAAATAAATTCGGACCGTGAAGTGCCATATAGGGAACAACCTACAGAGAGTATGTTTCCCCGGAAAAGGCGTCATGGAGGCGATTGCCGTGCAAAAGTGAGAGATGGAATTACGATGTTGTACCTAATTCCATAACCCAAGAAGTAGACGCCCTAAAAGTACGGGAAGTCATACATTGTTGGTAGAGAGATATTCTTCCCAAAAAATTTCAACGGCTGTAACAGGTAGTCGTTTCAAAAATTTACTTTTGAATTTGTATTTTTAAATATAGGAAATAAGGCTTCAGAGTGAACATGAACAAAAGTATGTCTGGTGATAACAAGCAATAACAACAAACGTATTGAGGAAAGCGTGCACGGTTGCCAATCTCTTCGATCCGAAGAGTTACGTTCCGTTCTGTTTAAAGCAGAGCCCGTGACAAACATAGGTTAACTCTTTAAAATTCGAGAAAATTATTTTTTTCTACAACTGTCAAAAAAACCTGTCATTTTCTGACGGATTTCGAAACGCGAAGTACTAGATTTTTAATCGGTTAATTAATAAGTAAGGTTGCTCTTGACAACGTGCGCGAAATCGTCAACAGTGAAAAAAAGTATTTCGCGCACGGGACAAAGTTGAACTTAAACAGCAATTTAATTAACAATGGGTTCAGTTGTAGAAAAAATATTGTATATAACGCTAGCACGAAGTTATTTCGCGCATTTGACTGATATTTTAACTCGGCTTCGCCTCGTCAAAATACCTTCAGTCTCAATGCGCGAAATTGAACTTCGCGCTCTTGTTATATAAATAACTATTTATTATACCTGAATCACAATCTCCGTTTTAAACACTCAAATGCGTGCGAAAAAAGGCCTTTAAAACACACGTGCTTTAAAGTTGCTAAGTAACGATACTTCAAGTATGACTTTTGAAACTGTCATCTGGATGAAATAAAAAATCCTCTTAGGTCGCTTTCTGTAAATGCAGAACATTTCTTTGGCTTTTGTACCTATCCTTTGGTTGAAACTTTCACAAACGCGCGTAATTTAGGGTATGCTTCCAAATCTGTTCCACTTTTTAATCGCAGCATTGCTTTAAAGTTTTGAATGAATACACCAAAATATAGAAGATTTAAATACCTTTGACATTTCCTTCATATATGCCAGCATTATGGATGCATTTAAGACTGTATTCGTAAGTAACTTCCTATTCATCCATGGAAACAACTTTTCATATTCTTTATAATAGGCTTTACTGGAGTTGGATTTTACACCTACCAACGTTTGTTTAGATTTTACAACAATCGATTTAATGGGCGGTGTATTATCTTTTTCAACGGAAATCGTTTAATTCACAAAGACGATGATTTTTATAAGCAAACGTCAAGTGACATTTCCATGGCAATCGTGAAATTACGAACACCCAGCCCACTTAATTAGACACGTATTCGAGTATAACGTCAATATGACTTCATTGTATTCCCTATTTTTAAATTATACTGCAGGTATAATAAAAAATACTATAAGATACACGTGTATAATTAGTCTTTAAAGCACTTGCAACGTTAAAGGCACTCCGCTTTGCGTCGTGCCCTTAAACTCGTTGCGCGTGCTTTAAAGACTTGATTATACACTTGTATCTTAATATACTATTAAATTATGCGTTTAAAAAGGTGCGCTAGTCGAGATCGTTGCGTTAAGAAAATATGCCCCGTGTCACAACTTCTAACGGACGAGATCTAAATCGCGAGAGAAGTGGGAGAACGGGCATTCTAAGCTGATTTTGCGAGCGATCACGCACAAACACCGGTGTGTGAAAAAATTAATTTTCGGTCCACATTTTTAGATGCGTTTCGAGAAACATCCTCGCGTATCTGTGAAGATTTGCGGCTGAAATTCGAGAACCAAAACGTGCGTGCAATTAGTGATTGAAATGTATCCGACTAGTAGTAAAGAAGTTGAAGTTCAACTTCAGGTTAAAACATATTAAGTAGCGAGAACTCCTAAATTTCGAGTACGTCGTGGAGAAACATTTAAATAAATTCGTATTTGTGACAAATTGCGAGTTACCTGCAATGTTATACGTGTGCGAATGAACGAAAATTCCGAGACGAAGAAAAACTGTTTAGCAGCATGATTCGTAGCAACGCCTTTATTTACGAGTGAAATATACGCGAAGGAACATTTTAAAGTCGGAAAACCGCGTTTCAAATGAAAAACTCATTGTGATACATAAAGAATTTCTTTTTTCTTTCGGGTTGCTAACTGTAACGGCTGGCTAAAAGCAAGTTTCTTAAACCTAAGTGTCGTCATTGGATAACGTATATTGTGCGATAAATAAAATTTTGTATGCAAAAGCATACGGCAAGGAATTTTAAGGCAATTAATTGGTAAGTTGACCCGTACCATAACCTTGTTAATAAATTGGACAACATTAATATTAACACAGCGTTAATCACGATATCGAGTTTTACTTTTTGCGCAATTGAAGCCGGTTTGCTTAGATTCTCGATTCATACGAACTTTTCTTCCGCCAAACTTTGCATTCATTACCAGGGTGGTGCAAAAAGGCAAGTGTTCCATCGAAGCGGTCTTTTTGCATATTTCAAGGAGGCCATGTAGCCCACGGAACGTAAAACATTTACAGTTACCTAGCCTAGGTCCTAGTTTAAAACAAAAAAATAAACTGGACAATATTATCCCAGAAATTCAAATATTGAACATATTAATATCTTAATTAGATAAACTGATGTATAATTATTCACATACGGAACGTAGGGCTCTCTCTGGCAGCTTCCAAAAGGATTACTACGTTACATGTATGTACAATATTTCCAAATTTAAAAATCTATACGATCTGCTTTTTACTTTCGTGTGTGGTATGTCATAATTTGAAAACGGTCGCTTAATCTTAACCTTAAACTTCTAAACAATCACTATAAAGTACTGAACAAAGTGTGTTACGTTAGTTCAGGGGAAGATAAAGACCCTTTCACTTTGTGGATGTAAATCAAGCATTTATCCGCTTTAAAGCTTTTACGTACATTTATTAGAAACTTACCATAAATAAATCAATCATACGCTTAAATGAGCTAAACAAGAAATGCAATTATCTTCGTAGGGGTGCAAATTAATTAACAATTAGCTTCTGGATCTGTCCTAATTAATTATTGAAACTAACTGAACGGCGAGGAAATGTTTTCAGACTTACCGTCATGATGGCTAGAGGTACCACGTACAGAAATACGAAATTTACCATATCAAAAATTTGCGAATTAAATTTTCGCCTATTTGCAATGCACACGGTTTCTTCAGTATCGCCTATGGAAGTTGTTATTGTGTTCACCCAAAAAAACTTCGGTGCACTGTACATTGCGCTTGTAATCCAGACGGCAAGTATTACGAGCTGAAAAAAGAAGAGAAACTTATTACTTTCATTTCTCATTCTGTGTATTCCGTCATAATTAGTTATTCGCGAATAAAATGGTTTATATGCTTGTCATTCTTCAAAGGGCATCTATCGAGTGTTACCTACGAGTACCTATGTGTTACACGTAAAGTGTTACACAAGCATTAAGATATTAGAACGGAAGTAGTTATTTCCCTAACGAGTGCGTGAAGTTGGTGATTCCGAAACGAAAGCAGGATGTCACCAAAACGAGGGTAGCGAGTAATGGTACCTGCTTGAATCACCTTCGCGCGCATGTTAGGAACAACATTTTTCCTACAATCGTTTAAGAATTAATCAAATCGCGTGCGCAAAGTGATCAATTCTCGCACATGTCAATTGTCAATGGATTGTAGGAAAAAGTATTTCGCGTATGGACGAAGATGTACCTAAACAGCAAATTTAATGAACCTCAGTTGTAGATGTTGTATATGTCGCAGCCGTTTAATGAAATTGGACATTTCATGAAAAGTCTAGTCATTTATATGAAACTGTGGAACAGTTTACTTTCCAAGACCAAGCGATTGGATTCCCTTCCCATTAGAGATCGATAAATGGTATCCTTATCGATCTAGAAGGGGAAGGGAAAATACCCCACACGTACAAATTTTCAGCGTTTCACTAAATGACTAGGCCTCGGACTAGGCGTTTCCTGAAATGACTGATTTCACTAAAAGACTACGACATATATAACACTAGCGTCTAACGCGAAGTTATTTCAGCCTCAATGCGAGCTGTTGTTATATAAATAACTAATTTTTCATTGTTGACGTTTTCGGGCACGTTGTCAAGAGCAACCTTACTTATTAATTAACCGTTTAAAAATCTAGTACTTCGTTCTTCAAAATTCGTCAGAAAATTGCAGGTTTTTTGACAGTTGTAGAAAAATACATTTACCCAAAATCGTCATGAAACGTTCATTTTCTGTCAGGTAAGTTTAGTTTCCATGACTGAGACAGACCAGACTACTTTTCCTGCTGCCTGTCACTTTACCGGCAGCACCTGTCATTTTACAGGTGTTTCCAACCGCACCTGTCACATTGCTAAATGTCTATAGGAGCTCGTCATCACTGACATATTGACATTAATCAAATGTTCTATATGAAGATTGAAATTTTACATTAAAATACGATTTCGGGTAAAATTTAATACAAAACTAGTCAGTAAAATGACACTACTTGACTTGGAAATTAAAGTACTCGGCCTCAAAGGCCTCGTACTTTAATATTCCCTCGCCAGTAATGTCTCATTTTCCTGACTTTTAATCGGATTTAAATCCTATAAAAGGTTTTATTGTTTTAATGGTTTCATTTGTTGCTCAATAGGACTATCCTACGTTTTCCCCCCGGGGGAGGTGGGGGTATAAATGTACGTACAAAACGTGTATTTCTGCGGTTTTACTGTTATATCTTGTAAAAAACCCACAATATTAAAAACATAGCCCTATTAAAAGTTTTAGGACAAATTCTGCATTGAATGAGACCAGACCCATATTATGTGAAGCATCCGTTTACATACTAGTGCTCATAGAAATTGAACAAATCTTACATATCTATCCTATCCTTAACACCTTCAAAGAAATCCACGTTATAAATGTAAAACACAAAATCTCCTTTTTTCCCGTTCCCATACGGATTTCGGGAAATCCTTAGTGCTCTCCTACAATCCCCAAGGAACCTACATGCCAAATTTCCGCTTTCTACGCTCAGTAGTGTCGGCTTTGCAGATTATTGAGTGAATTCAATCCAATGATTCTTTCCCCGTCACTAATTTTGTTATTTTGTTGTGTCTATCAGTACAGGAGTCATCGGCTGACCGCCGCAGCCGAAGCAGAAGACACACTACATCTGGTCATCTTTACCGTGTTAATGGTAGTGACCATGGCTCAGGAGATACTTTAGAGATTTGGCCTGTTTTCTAAAGCCCTCGTAATATCCAATTTAAACTTGAGATCTCTACCACCAACATTCGAGGCAGCCCGCATACGTTGCTTGGGAACTGACCTACAAATACAAATGCAGGTAGGAGATCAGATGAATGCACTCCTTTGGGAATGGCAGGCTTCAAAGTTTGGTTTTGACCCTATTTCTACCTCCAAGGAAACCAGATCCGCAGTGTGTGTGGATGTCGGAATACTCCTAGAATCTTGGAATTTTTTGTAATAGGTAGCCTATACGTACCTTGAAGGTGTGCCAGACGGTCACCAAATTTCGCTGTCTTAAAGGACCCCTCCAAACATTATTTCCTTTTAGAAAAGGGGGGGGGGGGTAAACATACGTTCAATCATTCATGGTATTCTAATGAAAGGTCTCATCGAAATAAAAATTGGTATGCACAAACTATAACCTTCCCGCGCGACTTTCTTTTTAGATCAGTGAGTGACAGGGGGGGGGGGGGTTAGAAATTAATGTTATCATTAATGTTATTTTAATTAAAGGTGTCAACGAAAGGAACCGTTTTCTACCAACTACCGCCGTTTTTTCTGACCCCTTATCAAAAGAGGGAGTTTGGGAGGGGAGGAGTAGAACTGGTTTCATCTTTCATGGTACTCTAATGAAAGCAATTGATTTCTACCAACCATAGTCCTCCTCCTCGACCCCCTATCGTGATTGGATCCCTTATATATCCAGAACAGATTGTCGGAAGAAGGCGATTGGGACGTCTACAAGAAATATATCTATTAGTGATATCAAAACCTTAAGAGCGAATATCTCGAAAACGGTTTGTCGGTTTGTCAAAGGCGAAATGAATTGACCGGACGAGACAGATCTATTGGTGGAGTCGTAGAAAATACCTTGAGAACGAAGTGCCGGAAGAGGGTACTCATAAATGGCAAGTGGATCTTCAGGGCGAGATATATCTATTGGTGATGTCAAAGCTTTCAGTGCAAATATCCGCAGAATGGAGTGTCAGAGGACTTTGGATGTATGCCAGGTGGCCTTTAAATGTTAATGTGTATAGAGCCTCCTCATCTACCAGGGAAGTAACCATCGATATCATGTTATTACCTTATGACACGATCATTTACTAAGCTATTTCGGTTTAAAAAATGAGATTTATCTGCACAAGAGTGGTGCACAATTTATGTTTAATCATGTTTAATCAGAGCGATCATTGAAGAATTTCCAATTTCAAAGGCCCCGTGGCAGTTGATAGGGTCATCTCCGATGACTCCTGTGCTGATAGACATAGCAAAATTAAAAACAGGGAAATGATCATAATTATGGGACTGAAACCACTGAATATTATTCTCAAGGTCCGCAAAGCAGAAACTACTGGGCGTAGAAAGCTGAAATTTCATGTGGGTTTCTTCGGGATTGAAGGGGAGCACTAAGAAAAGATTTCTTTCACTTCCCGAAATTTCCCGAAAAAAACCCGGAAACCTTTTTCATTGTCGACAACTTGAGAACCAAATAGTCTAAGAGCCAGTGAAAAGCAGACCGAACATATTTCAGTAAACCCTCAATTTTGTTCAAAGACTTATACTTACTGTTCATGAGTGGGGGACTAGCTTAGCATTTTTCCATAAGCTCGAAATATAATGAGCTCTTAAGAACTGCTGGTATAGCGCGACTTTGGAAGGTGGAATAGAGCTGGAAAAAATGCTTTCAAACAAGAACCTACCACATTGACCCCACTGGAACATGGTTGGATACAGGAAGAAGGTTATTTCGTTTTTAAATGGTTTGAGGGAGATCAACTTCCGGACCTTGTCAGCGATTTGGTGGAAGACTCTCCAGGTTACATTACAACGAATTCTATTAAAAAACTATGGCTAGGTACTCTTTGCTTCAACCTACGAAACAGAACATGAGCACCACTTAAAATAAATCTTTGAGCGCTTACAGAGTTATGGGTTAACTATCAATCCAGATAAATGCATGTTTGGAGCTGCTAGCTTAGCATTCCTAGGATATCGAGTTTCAGCAAAAGGATCGGAACCACTGCCTGAAAAGGTGAAGGTTACCGCAGACCTCTTGCCGGAAACTGCAGCAGATTTAAAAAGAACGCCGTTTCCCATCCAGCAATACTCCGTAAGTACAGTACATAAAGGTTATAAGAGAAAGGATCGTACACCATTGCAGTGGTCACATGATGCATTAAAAGCTTTCAACATTACAAGAGAGACTTGGCCAATGCAGCACTACTAGTACATCCATCCTCTCAATCACTTCCGCATCCGATTTTGCAGTGGGTGCAGTTGAAAACGATACATGGAAACCATTGAGTTTTTTGTCAAAGAAGTTCACCCCAACATAAACAAAATAGAGCACTTACGATAGGGAGCTTCTTGCCATATACTATACAGCAGTTAAATACTTCAGATATTTACTAGAAGAAAAAAACTTCTGACCATAAACCATTAATGTTTGCGTTTTCTCGAAAATCTAACAAGGCTTCACCGAAACAAATCCGACATCTACATAGACTATACACTAATATCCTCCACATTATAGTGGTAAGGGTAACATTCATCAGAATAGCCACCCAGAGTAAGAAAATATGTTACAAAATCCCAACAGTACTTTTCTAAAACTTAAGAAATATACTTTTCATGAATCTGACATACAAATATACTGCGACATCAGTCAACTGAGCGCGACGACCACCAAAATTTCGCAGACTCATTTTCGAAAAATACTAGAACTAGTCACACCCTGGGATTAAAGCGACACAAATATTTCTTCCCGTTTCGCCTGGCCCTCAATGCTTAAGGACATACGAGATTGGACAAAAGCGTGCATTAATTGCCAGAAATCAAAAATTAACAAACACACAACAACCCCATTACAAAAAGTTCAACCACCCGATCAGGCAATCAATATAAATCTTACTGGACCATACCATCGTCAAATGGATTCACTGTCTTACCTGTATTGACTGATTTTCTTGTTGGGCCGAAGCCTTCCCCATAGTTAATCACATTAAGTCATAAGCCCTAATGTATGACCAGAGCC